AAGCGTGGGAGGTTGAGAGAATTCACCAGAGCCAGAGCGGGGAGCAGAACAGGCAGACAGACGAAGTACACTGCTGAGGGGAGCAGCGGGCATCAGGAGAGATCTGTCGCACCATCGAACCAGTGCTGCAGAGGTTGCAGGCAGCTTCGCAGCCCAGCGCTCAACCACTGCGCCACCGGGGAGGCCCCTTTTCATTTTTGTCCAATAATATTTCTTTACATTCAATTAACAGACTCAGGCCACTTTTCTCCTACTAGGGATTTTTTGTTCTAGGTTCTATGTAGTTTTAAAATTATATTCTTTTAACACTTACTTACGTTTCTTTTCCTAAGTCAGCATTCATTCAAACTTTAAACAGTCATCCAAGCCAGAAACTACAGGAACACCCTTGCCTCTGTCTTTTATTGGACTTCGGGTCATGGGAACTTAACCTCCTAAGCATCTCTGATTCATCCCCAAGCTACGTCTATGTTGGTTTAGGCATCCATCACCTCTGGTCTGGATAACTGCTCTACAATCGCTGAGTGCTTGATCTTGAAGCCTCAGTCATTTCACTGCTCAAATTTAAATCCTGATACATCCCTTCCTGACCCTAAGGGTTAAACCTCAGCTCTTAAGTATGACAGACAAGGGTTTTAGGGCACAGTCAACGCTGGCTGTCCCTTTATCTTCTACTACCTCTCCTGCACATGCTCCCCCTTGGAACCCCTGAAAATCTCCAGATGCAGTTTGCTCCTTCCTGAGTTCCCTGCTATTGCACATGCTCTTCCCACTGCTTTAGATGCCCAGCCTCAATAGTCTCCCTTCAGGTCACAACTTGAAACTGTCCCTAATTACCTAGGTAGACTTCGGAGTTTTTTTCCTGAACTTTCACCCTTGTCAACTCTTCAACCAGTGTAGCATGTCACCCCAATCATGATCGGACTGTGAACCAGAGTTCTTACTGCACTTTGACCTCTTTTAGAGCAGAGACAGTATGATGTATGGTATATTTGTAGAAAGAGCAAATAAAACAGAAATAGTATCACTTAAAACATAGGAGGGTAATTTTATCATAGGCCTACTAAAGTCTCAGTTTAGAGACCCCAGAGATGATCAGTGACACACCAGAGTGATGGCTTAAGGTTGTCCTTGTGTCTTTCAAGAACAAAATCTAGGCAGATAATTCTGCCATGATATTCTATTTGGCTCTTGTTCAAATCTGCTAGATCATTTTTATGATCTTACTCCTTTGCTCCTATTTTCAGGACATCCTTTTCTTCAGCTTATAATAAAGACCTACTTCTTGCTTCTCTTACCGGATGCAACAATCAAAATAGAATCTCTCAGTTACTATTGTTGGACAGATTATTTCAGGCTAAATCATTCCCCCGGATTCCTTCTTTCACTTTGGTTTAGACTTGTGTAGGTTCTATACTTTCTTAGCATCTCAGCAACTCACATAATATGGTGATTGTCATGGATTATTTAGCTTTTGTGCTATTTTAGCTTCTTTTTGTGGAGAGTCTACGGTAAGATAGCTAATCAACACACTTGCCCTCGATTTATTTTCATAACACAGCCAGAATATCCTGATCATGGGGTGGTCATATGACAGAGGTTAGGGCAATTTTAGTCTCCAGTCTTTCTGGATCCATCATTGATCCAGGGTGAGCATGTGCCCTAAGAGGAAAAATCAAGACCTTCTCCAGTATTATTCTAACTGAAGTCAATAGGGAAAGAGAATTTTTTTCCCTTTCTTTGGTTTTGACCTGTGAAGATCTGAAAGCAGAATTCCTGGCACTTAATATTTGGGGTTTTTCTGGTCTACCATTGAACAAACATGTGTTTACTATGAGAGAAGCTTGAAACCAAGCAGAGATCAGTAAAGATTAGAGCTGATTTGAGAAGAAGAGTGACAAAGCTCAGTAGAATATTACTCAGTCATGAGAAAAAAAGAAATGCTAGCATTTGTGACATTGATGGACCTTTAAGATACTATGCTAAGTGAACTAAGCCAGATAAATGTAAATACAGTATGAGCTGATTAAATATGGAATATGAAAAAAAGCAAACCCATAGAAATAGAGAACAGGGGACCTCCCTGGTGGAGCAGGGGTTAAAGTCTTAATGCTATTACGCCATCACCAGCCACTGCACTATGAGTTCGATCCCAGCCAGGGAGCTAACCCACACGGCGCAGCAGACCTCTCCTGTCTCATCTGCTGCTCCCCTCAGCACTGTATTTCAGCAGATCCTCCTGTTCTGCTCCCCACTCTGTCTTTGAATCCTGTCACCACCCCCACACACACCTCTGGCCTATACCCCAATCGTTCCATGCATAAATAAATAAAAAACATCTTTTTTTTTTTTTTTTATATAGAGGCATGTTTTTATTTATTTATTTATTTGTTTGTTTGTTTTGTTTATACATGCACTGGGTACAGTCAGAAGCGCGGAGGGTGAGAGAATTCACCAGAGCCAGAGTGGGGAGCAGAGCAGGCAGAAGGACCGAAGTACACCGCTGAGGGGAGCAGCGGGTGGCAGGAGAGGTCTGCGCGCCATGTGGGACCCTCCTCTGGTGGCGGGGAGCAGCCGGGGATAGAACCGACGCCGCAGAGGCCGCGGGCAGCTTCGCAACCCAGCGCTCAACCGCTTCGCCACCGGGGAGGCCCAATAAAAAACATCTTTAAAAAAAAAATTTAGGGCCTCCCTGGTGGCGCAGCGGTTGAGCACTGGGCTGCAAAGCTGCCTGCAGCCTCTGCAGCGGTGGTTTGATCCCCAGCCATCGGCAATGGCGCGACAGACCTCGCCTGCGACAGACCTCGCCTGCCGTGCCCTCTGCCTCAGCAGTGTATTTATCACACGGTCTGTTCTGTTCCCTGCTCTGGCTCTGGTCAATTCTCTCACCCTCCCACATTTCTGACTGTACCCAATGCTTGTATAAATAAATAAATAAATCTTGGGTAAAAAATTTTTTGAAAAGAAATAGAGTGCCTCCCTGGTGGCGCAGGCAGTTGAGCACAGCGCTGTGAAGCTGTCCGCAGCCTCTGCTATGCAGGTTCAAGCCGGCTGGCCGGTGAGGATACCTACATGACGCGGCAGACCTCCTGTCTCTCCCACTGCTTCCCTCAGCAGTGTATTTCAGTCGGTCTGCCTGTTCTGTTCCCTGCTCTGTCTCTGGTGAATCTTCTCACCCTCCCACACATCTGGCCTGTGCCCGGTTCTTGTATAAATAAATAAATCTTAAAAAAAAAAAAAAAGAAAGAAATAGAGAACAGATTGGTAGTTGTCAGAGGCAGGGATGGGGTGAAGGTGTTCAAAAGACATATATTTCCAGTTATAAGATATTTATGTAATGGATAACGTGGTTATTATAATTACAGTGCTTATTGCATATTTGAAGGTTGCTAAGAGAGTATCTCTTTAAAGTTCTCATCTCAAGGAATAAAAATGTAGCTATGTGAGATAACAGATGTTAATTAAACTTACTGCAGTAATCATTTCACACACTATATACATATATCAAATCATTATGCTAAATGTGCTTAACACAGTATCACATGTCAACAACATCCCTATAAAACTGAAAATTTTAAAACAAAAGGATAGCTTAAAAGGTTTTTTTACAAGGCTTGGATGACTTGAGAGTATTTAAAAACTATTTTATGCTAAATCAGAATTTATACAGTAGAGGAGAAAAAAAAGACACAGATATTTCTTAAAAAGCCCTTAGCCGAGGAAAATAAAAACCTAAACTGCTTTTTGTAGTATGTGTCTAAGAGGCCTTTTACTAAAAAAGTGTCTCCCAAGAAAATGTGAATATTACTGAATGTAATAAGACAAACCAGGCAGGGTTGGCCTGAGAAGTACTGTGAGGTGTGATTTGCAGGGAGTTTCCACAGTTCTCAGCAGGCACAAGTGGGAGAAAGGCTTTCTTGATTATCATGACGGAAAAGGTGAGCTTGTATGAGAAAAGGAAAGAAACACTGCACCATTTGTGATTGAAGCAATTTGACCATCAATCTAGAAGGTGTTTTACCTGGTGAAATTACCATTGGGTGAAGAAATAGGCCTTCGTGTAAGTCTCGGAACCCATTTTGCATAAATGTCCGTATTTTATATAAACTACAAGATAACTCACTGCCAATTCATCTAGAGAAAAGAAGAGGAACAGTAGAGCTGATGATCCTGAGGAAGAAGTGATCCAAAATTTCAAATGACTTTCCATCAGTGGTTCTGAATTAGGGGTGATTTTGCTCCTCTGGAGACTTAGAGCAATGTATTAGGGCATTATTAGTTTTCACAACTGGAGGCATGATGCTGGCTTTCACTGGGTGTAGTTCAGGGATACAGCTAAATATCTTACAATACATAGCACAGCCCTCAACACCATAGCATCATCTGGATCCAAATATCTATAGTGCCAAGTTTGTGAAACCCTGCTTTAAAAAAAAACTGTATGAGGAGGTGATTGTTTATGTACTTCTGATAATTTATGCTTAGGCTAATTGCATTGGGGACCAAGTACTTAAACTTGGGAAATAAATGAATTATATATTTCAAACTGTTCTTCAAATCTGTGTGACAGCAAGTTATCCCATAATATGATTTTGTTGCATTTTTTAAAACATTGTTCATTTTTAAACAATATTTGCTTCCCCCCACCCCCTCAGGTATAGTCCCTGTAGCGTTTCCTTCACCAGTGCACCTGTGCACCATCACCACAGTCCCCTGTGCTCCTCCCTCTGATCCCTCTCCCTCCTCCTTCCCTGAAGGATGTCTCTGATTTATAATATTATTCAGCAATCAAAAAAGATAAGAAAGAGATCCCAGGCCCAAGGATTCCAACTCACATCATGCCATGGATCTGCCATGACTCTTGACTTCTTGAAGGGGGTATTGCTGGGAACTAAGGGTGGAGTTAAGCAGCCCTGCTTGGAGCCAGGTGGGCCTAGGGAGCGTGTGACTTCCTGCCTTCCGCTGCACCTGGGGTCGCAGTTCACACAATGTCGTTACAGGGAGGACTAAACGACCAACACTGCATAGAAAAATTGACTTGAATGTTTGGATTGATGATTCCACATACTCACAAAAAGAGGCGGCACTCTCCGACCGGCAGAGAGGAGGAAACAACAAACCAAAACGGCCCACAAGAACAAACGACGCAGCAAGCGGGACTGTGCGTGGAAAGGAACTATTGCAGCCACCACACCCCGTGAACGGGAGCTGAGGCGAACCCTGCAGGATCCGCCACGGCAGTGAGCGTACGGCTCCGGGCGCCATTAGAGAAGAACAAAGACCCCGGGAGACGTGCACACAGCCTGGGCTGCCGGTAAGCCTGCGCGGGAAAGCGGCGCGCTTGGCGCGCTTGAAAAGCAAGTGCAGACCGGGATCGCGGCTGCCCAGGTCCCCGCGCCTGCGACCTAGGCTTGCGGGGAGACGACCTAGGCTTGCGGGGAGACGCGCGAGGTCCTCACTGAGGTGAAGGTCCCTCCCTGAGTGAGCAGGAACCAGGCGCCCAGGCACGGGAGCGGTGCAAAAGGCGCCATTCCCGCGCCACTGAACTGGGCTACAGCCCGCATCCTGGAACTGAGGGCTTTGAACTGAGACCCGGGGCACCAAAATTCGGGGCGTGGTTTTTCCACGACGGTGGGGCACAAGGCAGACACAGCACCCCAAAGCTGTTGAGGTGTACCCTACCATTCCCGCTCTGTTCTCTGTCCCACGGGGTGGGGGGAGGCGAAAAACAGCCCCCCAAGGACAATAGGAGAGATCTCTGGCGCCACCTAGCGACCAGGAAAAAAAAAAAGTCACTAACACCCTATAAAACAGGACATTTCTTAAGACTGCTTGAAAAGGGCAGAAGGTTTCTGGAGGACCAAGTGGCCAGCCGGGAAGTTATTCCACGCCAGGCCCCTTCCGACCAGCAGTCTGAGCCCACAGAGGGAGCAGGCACCCACGTCCGGGGCAGACCGGGTGCGCAGAAGAGTGTGCCTGAAACCGGAGGCGCAGGGACTGCATCCCGCTTCGCCATTTGAGAACAGGGACATTTCTTCAGTAAAAACTGCCTAAAACCAGCAGAAAGCTCCCCCAGAAGACAGAGATGGCTCCTGGAAGAGCCAGAGGGGAGCGGAGAAGTTCACCCAAGATGTCAGTCAGTCCGAGCAACACAGTGTCCCAACGCATACGACAAATTAGAAAACAGACAGTAGGGAGTAGAAGAACCACACGCAACCTAAAAACTCCTCAGGAAAGAAGCACACCACAAAAAGAAAACCACTCCCCAGATTGCAACGACAGCAACTTGGAAGAACTTCTGAGCCTTCCAGAAAGAGAATTTAAAATTGCCATGATTAAAAAAGTGATAGATCAGAAGAAGGAAATTGAGTCCCTAAAGAGGGAAGTAAGAGAAATGCAGGAGATCAAAGAATTAATGGAGGAACTAAAGAACTCTGGGAAAAGCAATGAAAGCAGAATAGATGAAATGGAAGAACGAATAAGTAATCTTGAAGACACAGAAATAAAAGAACCAAAACAGAAAAGGAAAGAGAAGTACGAAGGAAAAAGAATGAAGAAAGACTTCGGGAACCATGAGGAAAGGAAATATAAGAGTTATAGGAATTCCAGAAGGAGAGGAGAGAGATGTAGGAACAGAGAAAATATTCATGGATATAATTGAAGAGAACTTCCCAAATGAGAAGAGGAGCTGAAAATTGATATACAAGAAGCAAGAAGAACACCAAACTTCCACGACGAAAGGAAAAACACAGCAAGACACATAATAGTAAAGCTCCCAAGAATCCAGGACAAGGAAAAAATAATGAAGCTGACAAGAGGGAAGAAACAGATAACATTCAAAGGAAAACCAATCAGGCTGACATCAGACTTCTCTGAAGAAACACTACGGGCAAGGAGAGAGTGGAGGGACATAGTCAACAGACTCCAAGAAAACAGATGCCAACCAAGAATACTCTATCCCGCAAAGCTCTCCTTCCTCTTTGAAGAAAGAATATGGACCTTCCCAGACAAACAGAAACTCCGGAATTTCATTGCAACTAAACCCCCACTCCAAAAAATACTACAAGGAATCCTAAAGCCAGAACCTCAGAGGGACGAATAACAACGAAAGAAGACCAAAAAAAAAAAAAAGTTATTAAAAGAATAAATAAATAAAATCAAAGGAAAGACAAACATAATGGCAAATACAGATGCTAACATATCAATATTAACTCTAAATGTAAAAGGACTAAACTCTTCAATAAAAAGACACAGAGTTGCAGCCTGGATTAAGAAACAAAACCCAACCTTTTGCTGTCTCCAGGAAACACATTTAGCTACAAAAGATAAAAATAGGCTCAAAGTCAAAGGATGGAAAACAATCCTACAAGCAAATGGGCCAAAAAAGAAAGCAGGAACAGCTATACTTATATCAGATAAAACAGACTTCAAACTCAAAAAAATAAAAAGAGACCCCATGGTCACTACATTATGATTAAGGGGACAATACTTCAAGAAGAAATAACACTCATTAACATATACTCACCAAACGAAAGAGCACCAAAATATATCAGACAACTGTTGTCCTCTCTGAAAACAGACATCAGAGAAAACACATAGTAGTGGGAGACTTCAACACACCACTATCAACAATGGAAGATCACAAGACAAAAAATAAGTAAAGAAACTAAAGCTCTAAATAAGGACCTAGAGCATTTGGGCTTAACAGACATCTATAGAACACTAAACCCAAAAAAACGGAGTACACATTTTTCTCAAGCGCACACATGGATCATTCTCCAGGATCGATCACATACTGGGGGCACAAGACAAACATCAACAGATACACCAAGATTGAAATCATACCAACCATCTTTTCTGACCACGAAGGCATCAAACTAGAAATAAATCCTAAAAGAAGGCAAGGAACTCTCCTACCTCATGGAGATTAAAAGCCACACTACTGGAAGACCACTGGACTAACGAGGAGATCAAAGAAGAAATTAAAAAATTCTTTGAATTGAATGACAAGGAGGACACCAATATCCTAAATGTATGGGATGCAGCAAAAGCAGTAATAAGAGGAAAATATATAGCAATAGAAGCTCACATCAAAAAACAAGAAAGAACTCAAAGAAACAACCTAATCTCGAAGCTCAAAGATCTAGAAAAAGAACAACAAAAAAACCCCAGAACCAGTAGAAGAAAAGAAATAATAAAAACCAAAGCAGAAATAAATGAAATTGAAACTAAAAAAACAATCCAAAAGATCAATGAAACCAAGAGCTGGTTCTTTGAAAAAATCAATAAAATAGACAAACCCCTAGCCAGGCTCACAAAGGAAAAAAGGGAGAAAGCACAAATACACAGAATCATAAATGAAAGAGGAGAAATCACAACGGACACAGCAGAAATCAAAAGAATAATCAGTAACTACTATGAACAGTTATATGGAAACAAGTTCAACAATCTAGAGGAGATGGACAAATTCCTACAACTCTACAATCACCCAAAGCTAGATAAAGAAGAAATAGAACACCTAAACAGACCAATTACAAGCAGCGAAATTGAAATGGTAATAAAAACCTCCCCAAAAACAAAAGCCCAGGACCTGATGGATTTACAAATGAATTCTACCAAACATTCAGAGACGAATTAGTGCCTATCCTTCACAAACTCTTCCAAAAAATTGAGAAGGAAGGGCCAATACCAAACACGTTCTATGAAGCCAATATTACACTAATACCAAAACCGAATAAGGACAACACAAAAAAAGGAAAACTATAGGCCAATCTCCCTAATGAACACTGATGCAAAAATCCTCAATAAAATTTTAGCTATCAGAATCCAACAATGTATCCATAAGATAATTCACCACGACCAAGTTGGATTCATTCCAGGGGCACAAGGATGGTTTAACATCCGAAAATCAATCAACGTTATCCAACACATCAACAAAAAGAAATATAAAAACCATATGATAATATCAATAGATGCTGAGAAAGCTTTCGACAAAGTGCAACACCCATTCATGATAAAAGCCCTTGAAATTCTTGGGATACAAGGAACATACCTCAACATCATAAAGGCCATCTATGACAAGCCAACAGCCAGTATCATTCTCAATGGTGAAAAGCTGAAAGCAATTCCATTAAGATCTGGAACAAGACAAGGATGTCCACTCTCACCACTGCTTTTCAATATAATACTGGAAGTCCTAGCCAGGCAATAAGACAAGAGAAAGACATCCAAGGAATCCAAATAGGAAAGAAGAAGTCAAACTATCACTATTTGCAGATGATATGATAATATACATAGAGAACCCCAAAATCTCCACAGAAAACTAATTCAACTCATCAATCAATTCAGTAAAGTGGCAGGATACAAAATCAACACGCAAAAGTCAGTAGCCTTCCTATACACAAACAATAAATCTGAAGAAGAAGAAATCAAAAAAACCACCCTTTTATTATCGAAACAAAAAAATCAAATATTTGGGAATAAATCTAACAAAAGAGGTAAAGGACCTATACAAAGAAAACTATAAAACACTGTTAAAAGAAATAGAAGAAGACACAAAGAAATGGAAAGACATCCCCTGCTCATGGATTGGAAGAATATAAACATTATTAAAATGGCCATCCTACCAAAAGCAATATACAGATTCAATGATGCTATTCCAATCAAAATCTCAATGTCATTCTTCAAAAAGAAATAGAACAATTATTGATGAAATTCATATGGAATCACCAAAAACCCGAATAGCCAAAGCTCTCCTGAAAAAAAAAGAAGGAATGGAGGCATCACACTCCAGACTTCAAACTATACTACCAAAGCCATAATCATCAAAACTGCATGGTATTGGAACAAGAACAGACATACAGACCAATGGATCGAATAGAAAATCCAGAAATAAACCCACAGATTTATGGTCAACTAATCTTTGACAAAGGAGCAAAGACTATGCATTGGAGCAAAGAAAATTTGTTCAATAAATGGTGCTGGGAAAACTGGGTCGCTACATGCAAAAGAATGAAGCTTGACCACTACCTCACACCATACACAAAAATCAACTCAAAATGGATTAAAGAACTAGACATAAGACCTGAAACCATAAAATACATAGAAGGAAATATAGGCGAAACACTACGGGATTGCACATCAAAGACATCTTTACAGAC